AGGTGCTGAAGATTTGGCTCTCCCAGAGCTCAAACCAAAATCCGAAAATCCGGGAAAATTTGCTTAGTTAAATTAGGCTTGCTTTCTTAGCTTAAGCCGAAAGAACGTCCGAAAAAAAAATATATATAAAATTAAAAAAACGAGTTTAAGCCAAGTGGCGCGCTTACCGAACCCGATCGCGACAAAAAAAAACCGAATTATCAAATGTATTCAGTCCGCGTACTGAATATGAATATACGCAAAAGGTAAAAAAAATCAATCAAAATACACGTATGCAGTTAGTAAATAGGCATATATGGTGGTTAATTAAATATACGTGTATTTATAAATTCAGTTGGGTATAATTTTTTAAGTATGGGAAATATGTATTTTCAAAGGTCAATGGGAATGCTGGGGAGGTCAGCATTAAGAAGGCACAAAAATCTACGAAAAATAAGGTACGAATACAACAAACAAAAACAAAAGTCGCTGTCTGGTCCAGCACACCCAACCGCAATGAAAAGCCGGCATAGTGGAATGCCCCTCCAGACTTGAAGGGTGTACTGGACTTCGCGTACAAGTAGCTGAACTATCTTTCGGTCTCAGTGCACTCCACCGCAATGCAGCAAGGGGCAGCCAACGCATGCCCCCCCCTGAGACATGTGGGATGACTGAGACCCCGATAGTCAGTCGTTGTTGGAGTCCCAGCCCACTCCATCGCGATACGTAGGCGCTCGAGAGCGCCAGCGCAGACCTATAGAGTGAGCTGGGGTCCTTAAGAGAAATTTAATTATGTATAATTTTTTTTTCCTGAAAAAAAAAAATTTTAAAAAAAAGCAAACACAAAAAAAATATTCGGCAAAAAAAAACTACTACAAAACTATTTAAACTAAACCCCACTTAGCGGACAAATTTTCCACAATTCCCATGCCGACATATCGGACCACTGACAAAAGCGGAGAAAAATAAAAAGGTAAAACTATAAAAAAACTAAGTGCGTTTAGCACTGCCTCACCGGGTGAATTCAAAACTCCGGAGGACGTGACGTGAAGTCTCGGAGAAGCCTTCAGTTGCTGGCCAAGAGGACCGCTCCGAACCAGCACACTTAGCTCCACTCATCCCGCCGCAACGCAGCAAGGGGCAGCAATCACATGCCCCCCTGGGACTTGCGGGATGGCGAAGCCTCATGTGCCAGTCAGGACCAGTCAACCTGACCAGACCTCAGGCTACCGCGTTGGGCGCCATCGCAGCAGTGAGTGCAGGCGGCATGACACAATGGGGTGCACTGTGGCTAGTCATGTCGGCTGGGCGGGGTTCTTGCCTCACTACTGTTCCCTGCGCCATAGCAGAGAAAAGTCTTGCCTGTCAAACTTCCCAACGGACGAACACACAACAATTCAAAAATTCAAAAAATTACAAAAAATCCGTTACAAAATAAAAAAAAAGCTGGAA